CAGAGCTACCAACCTATCATTTTTAGTACAAATTACTATACTTATTAGCATTATGATACGCGCTGCCTCTACTATTGTCCTCATGTCCCTCTCTGCCTTTCCATTTTGCTCTGGAGAGTAGGAGACAGTTGTTTCATGGATTATACCTTTTTCTTCCAGGAGCTTTTTCATTCTTGTGTTGACGAACTCTCCGCCATTATCAGTTCGTAGGATTTAAATCTTGTTTCCTGTGGTGGTCTTTGCAAACTTCAAGAAATGTCTGATCTTCTCTTCTGTTTCTGACTTATGTGACATAAAATATACTGTGCGATAATTGGAGTAGTCATCTTTCAACAGCAGGAAATATCTGGAACCTCCAATTGAAGTTTCCTCCACACACATCCGCATGAATCAGTTCACCCACCTTTGATGTAGATGATTCGCTTCTCTGGAATGGGAGTTTATGCTGCTTCCCTTCCAAGCATGCCGTACAAGTGTTGACCCTTCCTGAAAACTTGATATTATTATTTTTCAATATGTCCTTGATACACTCAAAATTTTGATGTGCCAGCTTTTCATGCCATTCTTTCAAGCTGTACTCTACATTTGCTGATACACTGTTTGAACTATCACATTTAAAATCCATTATATAAAACTTTCCATTACGCGTTGCAATAGTACTTATTTTATTGTCTTTTCGAACTCGCATTTATTACTGTCTGCTTTTATGCTATAACCTTTATTTACCGCGCTTGCCACAGAAAATAAATTCATCTTCAAATCAGGCACATGTAATACATTGTTCAACGTAGTCTCAATATAGCACTTTCCATTAAACGCTTTCAATACTATCTGTCCTACACCAACAGCGTCTAATTTCGTTCCGTCACCTATGATCACCAACCTTTTATTTAGCAGCTTGCTGTAGCTCGCCAACAAGGTGCGATCAAAAGTCATATGTTCGCTAGCGCCACTGTCTACCAACTATTTATTGTAACACGCTTGTCCATCACCAACCATGGCTGACACTATAAATGCATTACTTTCCTTCTTATTCTCTGCTTGTTTTTTATTGTCATTGTCACTATTGAACCGACATTCACTTTTCAGGTGTCCCTTTTTATTGCACACATAACAACGCTTCACATTCCGATTATCATTATTTTTACAGTCTTTCTTAAAATGTCCTGATTGTCCACATTTAAAGCACTTTATATTTTTCTTCACTGCTGACATCGCAACACTCTTCTCAGATGTATCATCTTCTCAGATGTATCATCTTCTCAGATGCATCTTCGCTTTCAGCCGTTCTTCCTCGACCAACAGTCTCGCTATTAAGTTATCTACCGTCTGTCTTTCTTCTGATGTCGACTCCCATGCTGATACAAAGTGGCCGTATCCCTCAGGCAAGGACATCAAGATCTTTGTCATAACAAATTTGTCTGACATTTCTTTACTCAGCTGTTTCAGTTTACTCTGAAACTCCTGTACTTTTGATATGAATAGCGACACATCCATGCCTTGAGTATATTTTAGTTGAAAAAATTGCTGTTGCATTATATGAATGCTTGTGTCACTCCTCTGCTCATACACACTATGCAGCTTTCTCCACATTTCCGCCGCACTTGTGCATGTCAGGACATTCAACATTACAGATTCTGACAGTCTTGTAACGATTAGACTTTGAGCTTTGGAATCTTCTTTCAGCCATGCTGTCCGCTCTGGTTCTGCCTCTGGTTTTATCCTCGTACCTTCTGCGATCTCGAAAACCCCTAGACCTCGCAGCAATACACCCACCTGGAATTTCCACACATTCCAGTTTTTGGCTCCTTCCAGCTTCACAACGCCCACTGTTGCCGATGTTAACTGATCCATTGTTTACCGGATCGCCAAGCAGCTCGTTTTGTTTTAACCGACACGCCAACGACAAAACGTCCGCCACGGTCGTTCCGTTACACGAGTACCGCACTGCCTTTTTCGGCTTTCTTGTAGATTTTTTACCTCTAACTCACTCACAATCACAGTTATGAGCATGTAGCTGGGCCCATAACCTGTTAGGTTTAACCGAAATAAACCAGTACGCAGTGGTATAATTGTACGAATCTTTATTAGTACAGAGAATAAAATAAACACACGTTCCACCTGGAATGGCGCGAGACAGAGAGACTCGCGTTCCGAAACTCATCGATTACAAGCATAAGGGAGATCGGCAACAATACTGCCAACTTCTCCAGCGGTGTAACTAATCTTACTAGAATAACTGCACTCTTGCACCGATAATTCATTGAGCTCCGGTAACTTAGCCGGTCAACTTCGACTTTATTAATTTTCATATTTTTTTATCGTTTGTTGGTCGTTTGTTGGTGATTGTTGGCCTAATTACAACGTTTGTTGGTTCTTAATTTTTTTTTAAATTTAAAAAGAAAAATTAGCATTAAGTTAGCCGGAAAAATTTTATTTTTAATTTCAAAAAAGCCTAATCGATGCGTAATCGTTTGCTGATGATTGTTGGTCTAATTTTAGTGTTTGTTGGTTTATTATTAGTCTTAAAAACGAAAAAAACGAAAAATTATCTCACATATTAAAGTAATCGAAGATTGGTTTATTTGCCTACGACTTAAGCTTTATTTCTATCAATTTAAGGCTAACATCTATAAAACTGCCATATGAATACGGGCCTTAACATCGGCAGAAAATCGCGAAAAGATCAAGAAACATGGTGGTTCGTGATTCCTGTCTTTTTGCGCCGTCATCATTTCAACGAGAGACCGAGTGAGATTAGATTATAAGGTAATTAATGTAGAATTCTATATGCTAATGTTTTGAGCAGAACGTTCTTTGATTTCTAATAGCGTTTTTTACTGGCAGAGCTGGTGCGCATTTAGTGCACTGCACATTAAAGCCGTCGTACACAAATCAACGTAATGTATATGCTTAGTATAAACAGGTTAAGTCATGATTGCATTATTTGATAAAAAATGTACTGCGTATTTTATTAGTCGAAATATTTGCATTTTACTTTGAATATTAGAGATTAAATCAGTGTACAACAGCTTTAATGTGCCCTGAGTGCAGTGTGTACCAGCTCTGCCAGTGAAAAACGCTATAAGAGGATTTATATTTTATTTTTTCTTGCATAGATAAACAGAATGTTATCGGAAAGTCATCTAAGCATTTTGAGAAGAATCTTCGGAAAGATGAACGTAGAAACCAATTGTTGCAATTAAGAAGAAAGAAGCGCGAGCAAGTATTTGCGCAGAAGACAAATCTCGGTGGTTTTTTTCGTCACCTGTTCTTATCTGCGTATTATAAAGGAATATTTATATATATATATTCCTTTATAATTTATGCTACAGGTTGCACCTGTTTTACAAAATCTTCAAGGTTCAAATAAAAGGTAAAGTTATATATTTCTTTATAATGCATATTTAGTGTTACTTTGCTTTTACTGTGATCAAGTTAATAAAAGTGTAACTTTTTTTAGGTTGGTTCAGTAGTTATAGCTATATTTTCTGAAGATAGAGCTCTTTATCGAGCGGAAGTTCTGAATATTGATACGCGGAAGGATGCATACGTAGTTCAGTACATAAATTTTGGAAATTGCGCAGTCTAATCAACATCGCGTATTTCAAATTCGACATCGATGACATCTCCGGAGAGTTAGATGCAAAGAGACCGGTACTTTTCCGCTTGACGCCCAATATCTTCGAATTTCTCACAACTATAGGTCAGTCAGACACAATCTTAATCTTCTCGTCTGTCGACGTGAAAATAAAGATATCTTGATATAGACATCCCTTGTGCTTGGATAAATTCAAATGTTATATAGAAATACTTGTAGTAAAACCGATATTCATTACTGTGCAGACCGTTGCCAAATTCTTTCAGGTTTCACGATGTTAATTCTTTTGCAGGAGTTCGCGGACCATTGACCGCTAGCGCGATCGCCACAGCGCGCTGTTTGGTTCAGCCCACGTTCCAGCTGCATGCTATACTTCGCACAATTTTGCGGGATGAAGTGATCGCGGACCATAAACGGCAAGAAGACGCCAAGGGCACATCACAAGAGCCGACCGATCTAAAGGTTGAACTTCTGATAAAGATGGTGAACCACGCGGTCAACGCGATTGTCGGTAGACTAAATTCTCTCGCGAATTTCGACGGCAATGACAGTAAGGTCAGCACACTAGTAGCCGCTGCCAATAGCCATGACAATCTCTGCAGAATGGATTCCTCGTGGCACCCATGGCTGTAAGATACAGAACGTTTGGCCTAACAACACATTTGTGCTATAACGAGAAAAGGATTAAAATCATTATCGCATTATTCATTTTATTTTCTTGCCCATATACGTTCTTATATTTTATAACACTGACGCTAGCTTTCAGGAAGTTATTGAAAAATGAAAGATGATAAAGAGAAGTTAGACGCTAGAAAAGTATTATTTATAATCTATACATATATATAGATATATGAATATACGTAGTTTATATGCATTATAACATTAATTTTGTACAACGTAAATCGAAACTATTTGTAAACTGCGAATTTAATTCTATTCTCTAACTCTTACTTTGTATATGTATTATATTGCTTATAGATTCGGTTTCACTATATATAAACATACTGTTTGCTAATGCATAGCACTTCAATGTAACGTAAAGCTCCAGTTCGAGTTCCTAGTAAGTAAACTATATTTTAAGAAACTTGTGCAGATAATTTGTAAGAATAGTTCTTGCTAAGAAGTGGAATATAGACCTGAGATACATATAGTACTTATTTATTGTAAAAGACATGAACATTAGGATCTATATGAAAATTGTATGAAATAATAAGGTTCTTAAAAAAAAAAGACGTTTTGTTACTATTGGAAATATAATCAGGGACGACTTGAAATGTGGTGAGATGAGCAGGGAACACAACAATCTTGGTCTTTGTACACTCTGAATACTGTCTTTATTATATATAAGTATATCACACTCTGTAACTTAAACCGTAACCGACACGTCTGAACACGACGGTGATCGAGGCTCTTGTGAGCACCACTGATGCCCGCACGCACGCGTGGCGCGCCGAGTCGCGCCGCCAACCGGGGGCTGCCCTCTAGAAGGGCGGGAACTTATTGCTCGTTCAAAGTCTTCTCCCAACACTCCCTCCCTTTGGGCAAGCGATCCACGGGTCCTCTCTAAGTTTCCTCTTTATCTGAAACATAACAAGAATTAGTTATCGACTAAAATTAATCTCTAACTTTGTCTAAACTCTATATTCATTATTTTATCTCTCAGATACACAAATGCTTCTAGAGGTAAAGGTTTTGTCATAATGTCTGCCAAATTCTCTTTGGTCTTTATCCATTCGACTTTTACCTTCCCTTAATCAACACACTGCTTGATAAAATCTCCATGAGTGTCATCCATATGTTTTCTGTTTTCAGTTTCTTCTTTTTCTTCTAAGTCGTCATCAAACATTTTAAGTTTGTGACTTCTATCCATCTTAGTGCAGTTTCTTGCTGCTCTGTTGTCATGACTCTATAAATTTTCTCGTGCTTGGATACCAGAGTATATAGTATATATCCAGTGTCAGTATATCCCACCAACACACCAATAGCTGTCTTGTCGAATTTCAACGTAGGCTTTGGTACTCTTGCATATCCAATGCATCCGAATTTCTTTATTGGTTCAAAATGACAACTTGTTTCTGATGAAAACTTCTTCAACGTTCTGTTGAACCTTTCTGCAACTTCATTGTGTTCTGGAGTGTACGGTGATGCAAATATGGTTTTTATCTTTTCTCTTTTTAATACCTCTTTAAAAGCACCTCCCGTAAATTCCTTGTCTTGATCTCACTTTGCATAGCATAGCTTTTCTTCTTTTCCTAGTAGATTTCTGGCGGATATAAGATATTTCTCTAGAGCCTTTCCCGATTCATCTTTTGTCTTCAGAGAGTAGGCTTTTGCTAATCTAGAATAGTCATCTAAAAAAGTGATTATAAACCTCTTTTGTCCTGGATAGGATGTAGGTTTTGGACCTATGATGTCCGTATGTATTACCTGTAGTGGTCTCTGTGCT